TGCGGTGTGTGTGTGTGTGTGTGTGTGTGTTTACATGTGGTGAAACACCAAACCAATGTGCCAGGATCTGGACAATAAAGATATATCTTATCTTACTAAAACAAATATTAATCTCTCAAAAAAGTATTGTTCGTTGAAACCCCTGTTTCAGAGATTCGGGACGAAGAGAGAGCTGTCTTAGAAAAGAGTGTCTTCACTCAGAGTATTGCCATGGGATCAGCCATGCTAATTCCTATCATTGCCAGCTGCTTGACCTTTGTTGGATATGTTGGTAGTGGGAACAACTTGACTCCACCAGAGGTAAGTGTGAGGTTTATGATTTGAGCCTAGTATTTTAAGCAGTGGGTCTTAAAGGAGACTCAAGTCAAGTGGTGAAGAAAGAGTTGTGTAAAAGTTTTAAGCCGATGTCAGTTGACAAAAGCTGTTATATGTTAGGGGTTACTGGTGTCTGCCATACTGCAAGACACTTTCCCTTTTCCTTAATATGTTTTATGGAACTTGTTTTATTTGCATATCTGCATATATGGCATTGCAAGACAACTTTCTGAGGACAAATCAAGCAATATTTTATTTCATTTTACTTTATTCTCTGTTCAAAGAGAGAAGTGTATAAAACTATTACTTACCTTATCTTTGGATTAAAAATGTCTATCTGTGTTGAGAAGACACAGTTGTTTTGTGGATCAGATCGTGTCTTGAATTACATGGTCTCCTACTTATGATATGATATTGTATGCTTCACCAACCTCAGTTGGCTTTATGTCTTACTAATTCTTTTGTTCTCTTCAGGCATTTACCTTTGTGTCCCTACTGAACACAATGCAGACGTCCCTTACAGTTGTCCCGTTTTCCTTGAAATCCTTGTCTGAACTGATGGTCACCACAGCTCGTATTAAGGTCTGTTCACGTAATTTTGTTGGGGGGTTGTTGTTGTTGTTTTTTTTTGGGGGGGACACACACACACACACACACGTGCTTATTCTATGGACAGTAAAAGCTCCCAGGATTTCATGTGTCCTCGAGATAAGCCATAAAAATCATATTCTCCTACGTTCTTTGTTCCAAAGCAAATGTAATATGTATCTAGTAGCCAAGAGTACTCTTATCCTTGATCATATGATACCTTGACGCCTACATGTTCTTTCCAACTGGTTCTATTGATGAGACCAAGTTTACCACAAGTGGGATGAATGTCAGACGTAATTCATGATGAATTTGATCTTAGGGCCAATAACGACTGTGTAAAAGAAAAAGAAAGCATATTACATCAGAAAACCCGCCAGCATTTAGCTTCACAGTCTGTTTTCCTTACTGCCTTACTTGTTGGTCTTTTGGACTGGTTCCACATTTTTCTTCTCTGATTTCATTTTTTTTTTGGTCATCAGTGATGTCTCTCTCTAATGATTGGCAATTAAATTCTCTCAGAATATTCCTGTAGACAATTTCATGGAAGATGCAAACCAGAGACACTATTTCTTAGGGGGGTGGGGGAGGGGGGATTAGCGACTGAGGTGAGAGAAGGGGTGAAAGAGAAAGAAAGGTAAAGACTGTGTGTCTGTGTATGTTTATATACTTGGAATACTCACTCTGCTGTTGTTCATGATGCAAGCAAATATTTCTTTATATCAGAAATTATTTTTATTTCCACAAAGTTTTTTTTAGAAGGGTCAATTTTGTCAAAAATAGGGTTATGTAATAATAATAGTAATTGCATTTAGATAGCGCATATCCATGCTCAAGAGCATGCTCTATGCGCTTTACAACTATTATTACCTCAGCAGACCCTCTGAGAAGACTCAGAAACATTCTCGGCTTTCGCGGAAGCATACAGTGTAAACTGCGGATTTCACGCGCTCAAACACTATCAAACTGACAAGATCGTTCACTGTCTATAGCTGGGTACCCATTTCCACCTGAGGGAAGTGAGGAAAATTTGTGCAAAGTGCCTTTCCCAAGGACACAACGTTGGGCCCCTGACGGGATTCGAACCCACGACCTTACGGTTGCGAGTCTGAGAGCCTAACCACTAGGCCACTATTTATGTCATCATAAATGACAGGTGGTAACAAGGCAGTGTTGTAAGTTTGTTAATGGTGGGTTGTTGGCAAGTACTCTCGTGTGGTTTGCTCCTTCTTTCCTATCAAATGTCTGTCATACTGATCTCTCCTCCTTTTTTTTGTGTTTGTCACTCTCTTGTGACACCTTCTGTCTTCAGCACCTATATGACCTAATTGTGTTGCAAGTTTCGTAAAACTCTTGTGTTTGTGTTTGTGTGTGTGTGTGTGTGTGTGTGT